TGAGTCGAGTGCACTGTACTTTGTACATACAACCATCTTGTGCTGGAGAACATCCTTCCTAGGAATCGGCATCTGAGCCGGAATGGTGGCAGTGTTGAACTTTTTTTACGCGTGAACGATACGCCCTGTCGTTAAAAGACCTACAGCTCTGTGAGTTGCCACAAACTGGTGCCCCGAGATGCACACATGGACGAGCACATATGTGTGCACGTGTGAGACGTGTCAAAGGGTGAAGTCCTCTCCAAGTGCGGCGATGCCGCTGACCGTATGCCAGTACCCTCCGGGTGGTGGCGGTCAATGAGCTTGGACTTTGTGTTTGGCCTGCCGAAGGACTTGGCGGGAAACACGGGTGTCGTTGTCTTCGTCGACCATTTAAGCAAGATGGCTCATCTTGCGGCGGTACCGGACACCATCGACGGTGCCGGTACAGCAACTTTGTTTGGATCGTGTCTTTCGACAACATGTACTCCCGGAGTCAATTGTCTCAGACAGAGACCCACGCTTCACCGGGAAGTCTTGGTAAACGATCTTCAAGGTGCTGGGCACCAAGCTGGGTATGTCAACAGCGGACCATCAACAGACCGATGGTCAGAGTGAGCGGGTGAGTCGCGTCGTTGAGGACATCCTTAGCAGCGTCTGCGCTGATACTTCAAGGCGCTGGATTGACATGCCGCCACTCGTAATGTTTGCTCTGAACAATACAGTGCATTCGTGTGCTGGCTACACGCCGTTCTACGTGAGCGGGCTCGTTCATCCTCTAGTCCCACTGACGCCGCCATCCCATGGTTCAGGGTATGGTGGGAGAGGAATAGCCAAATGGCTAGCTGATGTCAGCCCTCTCACTGTGCTATCAGAAGTCGATGACGTCCTGTCCACCAGACTGAGTGTCTTACGAAGCGTTCGCGATGCAATGGCTGAAATTCATGACATGCAGACAGAATATGCAGACGTAATAGGTAGCGGAAAAAGCTGAATATGTTTAATATTAATTGCTAAAAATCTAAATATGCATGTAATTTCTGCTGACTTAAAGACGAAGCTCCGCTAACGGTTGATCGGAACTGTCAATGTCGTGGCCAAGCGTGGCCTCGCGTATACGTTAGACTCCCGAGAAGGATGAGCTTCCACCCGGTGTTTTTATGTGGGCTTGCTTAAGCTGTACCGGGATCCGGCTTAAGGAAACGCGGAAACGTTGGTGCCGGAGCGGCGATCTTAGTCGCTTGACAAACAGGTGCTGGACCAGCAACTGGTTTAGAGCACGAAGCGCAACGATCTCAATTTCCAACGGCGCCGAGCGCTCCACCTTTGCATGAGGAGATGCACTCTTCTGCAAAACGGCTAGGTGCCGCTTCGACAAAGCGCGAAAGTCCTCAACGTGAGGCAGTCGGTGCACAATGTACACTAAGTTCTCTAGGTCTGCCGCGCAGCGATATGCAACCTTGGCAAGATGCTCGACGGAGTCTCGATGACGAAGGACTTTTCCCTCAAGAGCTCGAAGAGCATCATTAGTCACCAGACGGTGATCGACCAAGTCGTCGTTGTCCGCCGCCGACTCTTCTTAATAAGAACGGTTGGGTCCACTATGACGTGGAACGCCTTGTGGGTCGACGTCGTCAACAGGGTCAAAATCAGTATCTATATACCCAAACTCTGAAGACTCGTGGGAGTTTGAGGTGCAACTTCAGCAAAACTGCTCAGACGTCGTGGACGCTTACGATCAGAGGGATCATGACGCTCCGCGGTTCTTGGCAGTAGCCGGGGATGCCGAAGGGCCATGAGCTGAGCTCAAGCTATGGTCCTGAGCTGCTGTGGTCGTAGACTTACCCGTGTGGAAAAGCGCAGGTTTCGCGGAAGCGTGATAGATTATTCTATGTGACGCAGGGCGACAATACGCAGGAGGTCGTCGTAGCGCTTTGAGTTCGGCAAATTAAAAATGGCGCTCTACGCGCACGTCCACTTCCTTGTGACTCAATATTCCGCCATCTCCTTGTTTCCAACCAGAGACTTAGAAGCATAAGCGCGTCCTATTGTCTCGATTACATATCGGCAACATCTATCATCCTTACCGAGCATACAATCTTATTCAGACTAGATCGTCAGAATATCGACAAGTGTTACCAGATGCAACCGAACCAAGAGCCTTCCAAGAAGCAAGGACTTCGTTTGCTATATTAGCTCTTTAATGACATCATAGAGTAGAACCCTACATACTGTATGGCGTGAGGCTAGCAGCTTATATTTCCCACTGCAATGGGGTTGCCTTGCCTTTTATGCAGTCGGGGCTTTGACTCAATAAGTCCGCGATATTAAATGCACAGGCGTTGAGTTTAAACGCTCCGATCTGGAGAATGGCCGAGAGCCTCTACCGTATGAGGTGATTTGGGCTCTGCTAATTCAAGTGTGTATAATATATACGTTTTACTACTTCCTATTATAAACTGTCCTCATCGTCCAGCGGTCCACGTTAATTACAAACTTCTCCTTTACGGGGTCCCATCATCGTCATAAATACTGACTCCTTGGTATCTAGAATCTTCACAATTACACCAAAGTGTAATTTGATTTTTTTTTAATTGCACGTTAAGGGTATAGCTGTAACGGGGTTACACGTACCCTGGCATGAAGAAGTACGTATCACCCGAGACGGTGAACCATACAAGGGTGCGGATTACACAAGATGGTGTTATCACACAATGGTGTGGCTACACCTTGACAAGAAGTCAGTATGTGGCTGGACTACCAGTAGTTATGCATTTTAATGAGGGTTTTGTATGTAATTAGAAAAACCTATCGATTTATATACAGGCGGCTTTGCCGCTACATAAAATCAAGAAATACATTTTACATTTTGAACGGAAGAGTGTATCTGCCTTGGGTTAAGATGTAGTTATTCTTGGAGTAAGCGGATTCCGATTCGCTACACTCATACTGCTTCTTAGTGTAGAACGAAGGTCACCGGTTTAACCAAGCTTTCTCTGGGTGAAAGAGCTTCGGCAGCCCCGCTGCACGGAGCAATGCAAACCATCTTGCTAAGTCTGTCAACGAAGGCGAGTACTCCATTGTGGCTATCAGCATTCTCGAATAAAACGAAGGTAAAGTTGAGACCGACTGGCTTCCAATAGTCAGTCGGATCAGAAAGAGTCTGCAATTGCACTTGCGTGTGCCGAGCGCTTTTCACGCGCTGGCAGATATCACATGTCTTCACAAATCATACAACCCACTTGCAAATGGGTGAGTATCAAAAACGGACACTGGGAGGTTGATGGGTCTTCTCACGGCCAAAGTGACCGGTCATGAGCTTATCATGCGTCTCGTACACTACCTTGTGCCTCAACAATCGTTGTAGAAACCACAACCCGTGGCTCGTCGTCATGCGCATTTTCATAATGAAGATTTATTGCATAACACTTCATCTGTGATTTCAAGCAAAGAGGAAGCTTGTCGTGGAGTTCCATATCAATCGATTAGAGTGCCTTGATGATCAGATCACACTGTTCATCCTCAACAAACGCGTGACGTATCATATCGAATACATCGTTTTCGATATAGCTAATAACTGGCTAGCTCATAATCCGGACGACGTGGCAATGCGTCAGTCAGTACGTGCTTTACACGCAACCGTGCATTTGCATTCTGCAAAGAATGACAACCATCATCCATCCGCTGTAAACCCTAAACCCTATGACAAGTGAGGAGACTAAGCTGCATATCGCAAGCTTGTGTGATCCGTGTAGACTACAAAGGTAGTTGAACCCAAGATGTGAGCACAAAACTTTACCGCGGCATATATTTACTGCCAAAAGCATATGCCGTGGACAGGGTAGCTCTTTTCTGCTGGCTTCAGCTGTTGCGATTGAAACAGCAGGACCCGATCTTTTCTTCTAAGTATATTTGCAATAATGCCCAACCGATTGCAAACTTAGAAACGTTACACACCACGCTATAAGGCTTCGAATCATTTGGTAAAGCAAGTAATGGTGCTATCATCAAACTGTCTTTGATCTTAGTGAATGCTTATTTAAAAGTAGATAGCCACTCCCATGATACGTCCTCCTTCAGTAATTTTGATTGCGGGCGCACCATTTCTGCGTTGTTACACGAGAAGTGATGCAGGTAACTGGACAAACTTATTCATCTTCTCGAATTCTTTTAATTCCATGGCGTTGACCTGTCCACGGTTTCTTTGACCTTCTCAGGGTTTGCACAAACACCGTGTTCATTGGCATCACAACCAAGGACTGGTACTTTGCATTTAATGGGCCAAGTCTCTACTCCGTTACTCGCGTAGGCTAGTGTTGAGGAAGCTCGCGCTAGAGCGACTGAGTCTTGATTTTGTGGAAAATTTAGCTCTGACATTATTTTAGGACCAGCTGGCCGCTCGGATAATAATCATTGAATAATTGGCTAATAGTGGGTCTGGCTCCCCATATATCAGCCAGTAGGATAACAGCAAAACAGCCCACGCTGATCGTGTGCTGATGCACCTCCTTATATAAATCAATCTTCCTATTCATTAAAGGGTGAGACCCTTCACTTTCCTCTGAAGGTTGCGTTTTTGTAACATAAGCGCGGACGTAGAACCATGGAGTAGATAACAGGAACGACAGCGGCGACGACAGCAACGGCGACGATGGTGCTCGCGACACCGTGGCACTGGTGCCCTAGCTTGTGAGCGGTCGGGCTTGGCAACGAACGTGCGCAGCAATCTGTAAACTCGAGCGACAACGTGGGAGAAGACTGGAGCTGATATCATCGTCGACGCTGGTGGACTTCGACGTGGTCTTGTGGGATGGCTGCTGAGGCGACGCTTCGAATATTACAGGGGCTTCCATGCGCTGATCATTAAGGTTTCTGACGTGTTGTCCGAGTGCACGACGCTGTTAGCCCCTGCGTAGAACGCGAGAGTTCGAGTCCCGCCGACTTCTCGGTAGACGCACGTTCATCAGCATTTTTTATACGGCGGATCCACTTTGCGCTGGGTAGACTGGAACCAGGACGAGTGGCCAATGACCTGGAACATCCATAATATTTAGGCGCTCATGGCGGTAAATACACGAGAAGCACGATGACGATGCGCTAGCCGCCAGCATTACTTGAAGCTTCACTCAGGAGACTGAACGATGAGTTGCGATGAGAACTGCGAAGTCGGAACACGGGCATCCTGCGGGCTTAGACAACACTCGTAACACTGCGAGCGACAGGAAGATGAGAGACAGGCTTGGACTGCTGGATGCTGGCGATTTGCTCACGCTTCGCCAACTCACTCACTCAGTTATTCACTCAGTCACTCAATTTTCCGCTTGGCTCACTCACTGAATGGCTTGGTGGAACATCAGCAAATTCTCGGACCGATGGTCACTGGTTCGGTCCCAGCGTCGACCCCAAGATTCTTCTTAGCTACTACGGTAAAAGCTCCCAAGCGTTAAGACGTGAGTGTCTTCTCGTACTCGTTTACCACATCTGGGGTGTCTTCTATGAAACGTCTGCGTGGCTCCTAATTGTCATCTGTCGGAGAGAGACCCAACCAGCAAGTTGTTTCTTACTGTCGCTCGGATAAGGACAGGAGTATGACTTGGACTGGAACGCGCGACGTGCTTCATAGCCGCGTCGTCAAACCAAGATCGAGTGTCGTGAAGAAAAGTGAACGCTCAAAGTACTAACAGGTGTAAGATGGCGCTGCTCACAACAGTCCGTCAAACACAACTAACACACGCTTGTCGGACGAGGCAGCAACTCCCTCTGTGAAAGGGAGAGGGCAGTCCCGACTAGAAGGGAAGCTGAATGACTTGAGGCCTTGAAGGCAAATTTGCAGCAGAATCAAATGAGTCAATGATTCCTCGAGCTGCTTTAGGTAAGCAAGGGCGAGATGGCTATGACATCCACAAAGCTTAAGAACGAGCAACCTTTTGTGGCGCTCGCTATTTCCAAGCTTAGGGGCCGAGCGCGAGAATGGCAGCTACGCGCGGTACTTTGGTTGAAGCTGCGTTCTCCTCCTGGAAGGAGCAAAAGCGGTAGCTTTTGCGAGTATTCTCGCCGCCTAATCAAATTCCCTGAGGGCTCTTAGGGGTAATGATGATTTTGGGTTTCTATTAATCTGATTTATACAATCAAAGGTACACTGAGGTTGAACTTCAGCTTGAAACTCGAAATGCTTGAGAATCAACTTTCGTGGAAAGTTTTCAGCAGATGTGATTGGTTTACGCCACCGTGTTCAAATGACATGGACACGCCGGTCTCGTTACCGATACGAATCCTCAAATATGAACCGGTATACTGTATCACACAAAATGTTTGTACTTCATAGAAGATGCTACATGTGCATTTGAAGACACCACACTGTAATCCTCTTCTTATGAATTCCGACGATGCACGCATAAATACATATGTGGCTAAGTGAAGCCTGCTAGAGTGATAGAGTGATGCTCAAAAATTCCATGTTTCATTCACGCAGAGGATACAGTTCTTTCTCGACTTCACAGCGGGTTTGACTACAAGTTATACCAAGTGCACGAAGTTGTCGTGCACGTTGCCTAGAAGAAACTTGACTCTATGAGACCGCGTTAGCATATACGCAACGGTCGGGTTCGTGCGCTCCTACCAGGAGCGGAGCGGAGAGCCTCTACTGTAACTGGGTGTTTTGTTTGTACTTATACAATAGAATTAGTACTACTTGAATTTATACTCAATATATAAGGTCTACTTTCTTCTTATTAGAAAACTGTCTGACGTGCGGCTGACAGCCCACGTAGATTCGGTGGCGTGGGTCAAGTGGTCAATGCTTCTGGGTCTAACGTTGTGTGGCGCGGGTTCGAGCCCCTCATCGGACAAAATCGTAATCGTACCAGACATGCAAGAAATGCCGGCTACATGCAAAATATTACCGACAACAGCCAATAAGGACTTCGGGATGGCGACTCG